AATCTATTTGAATTCAATGATTTCAAGAAAAAGTACGGTTTCTGCGTAATTTTGATACGGTAGCCAATTTTGAGCACACCAAATAGATTCTATTTTACGTTATCCTTGTATAACCCAAATCCTCGGATAGTTGACATGATGAATCGAATTTATTTTGTTGGAAATGTTCAGTTTTTTGTGAAAGAAATATACATCAAAAGGATTCGAGTTAAATTAAAAATGTGCATAAATTTAATAATTCTCTTGTATAAAATTGTAATGGCCACAATTTTAATGTAGCTTATGTTTAATGGACGACATTAGTAGGAAAAAGTAGCACTATCTGACGTAGTCATTAATGTAATTTTAAAATCCTTTCATACATTTAATGCATGGTTACTTTTTCCACACTATTTCAAAAGTTCAAACATTGAATATGGACACTGACCATTTTAACTAATATGCCTCAGTGCATAATGAGACTGCCTGCCACTCATGTGAATCACATTTAATTGGTCTTATAATCTCGAACGAATGTTATGTGTTAATAGTGCCGACATTGGGAAAACGACTTCTCCGGTTTCAATTTCCATGTTTTCATTTCGTATCGTCGTCGTCCATCCATTTGACGGTCCGTCCAAAAGTTCTCGTATTTTTATTTGGCCATTAAAATTTCGACAGCACATAGCCATGCCATTTCAATTTCGACCGCATTTATTTTCCATGCTTGTTTTTTGGTTGAAAGTTTTAAATTCAACGGATTATCCTCGACTTTAGTGCAAAAAGCTTGGCTAAAATAAATTTCAAAGAAAATAATTATACATATATAGGCGAGAGAAAAAAATACGTTATGTATACTTTCGTTGGCAGATATTCGGATGTTGCGTTGAAAGAAAAAAATGCGAATTCATTTTTGTTCTTTTCGAGTTTCGAGGGCCAACAATCCAAAATTAAAATATTTCAATGGAAACATAAACAATGGATAACAACTATGACAATAAAGTTATACGATGCTATTTTCTCTAGCACACTTTGAATAAAAATGACAAAAAATGTGTGTCGGTGTTCTTGTTTCAGCCAGCCATTTCATTTATGCTCTGATTTTTTTTTCTGTCCAACATTTCTTGTATTTAATTTTAAAATTATTACATAGTTCCATACCTTTTGTAATGCCCTGACAATTATAAATGGGAATAACAGAATAAAATAGTTTTTTTGTTCACTTGGATTTTATGCGAATATAAAGTGTTTTGAAACATGTTTTTCGTTCGGTCACATTGGGATTACATAAATTGACCCCAAAAGAAGCGCATACACAGCAACAATGCCATTGTTAAACTAATTTACAAGAATTCAAATGGTCTGTTTCACTGTTGTTGCTTTTTTATTTCTTCAATTTTTTTATATCTTTTGCGCCTTCAAAATGGAATTAAGTACATTTTTGTCGGTCTCGCTTTTTGCACTCATTTTCAAGAGTAGCACGCCATTATCTCGCATTATCCTCACAAAATATTTGCTCAACTTACGACGAACTGAAGCATCTGCATTAGTTTTTGCCTCTCATTAAAAACGTTATATATGTTCCATTTCGCTCCAGTTTTTTTAACCAAAACACTCTATTAATGTAATAAACGCTACGAATAATATCTTTTCATGATAAAAAAAAGAGTTGGCTTAATTGGTATGCTTCAAATAGGACAGTATTCAGTTGGAGTATCGCTATTTTCAGCACCAAGCTTATATTCAATGCATACATTCCAATTATAAAATTTACAAATTATTTTAAATACCTCATATCGTGTAAATAATTACAAAAAATGAGACACATTTTAGAAAAATGATTTTCATTCAGAATGATAAGCACACAATTAAACCGCATCAAAAGAATGCCATTATATATTGTTGTGAACCGAGTGGTACAACTAATTCAAAAAATAAACAATGCTTATGACACCGACGTGTGTCTGAACGTGTATTAAATGTCGAAAAAGGCTTTTTAGATTTTCTGAGTTGAATGTAGTCGACATTGAGTTGCATTGTTTGTTGCGCTCGAAAAAAAAATCTATGCATATCTGCAGAAAAAAAGAAAATGTGACTGACGCCATGGGGCGAAGAAAAAAAAACCAAACGACAATTCACAGTTGAGTCGCAGCCAAAAAGCTTAGAAGATGATTGTTCTTTTTTTTAAGAATTTAAAAAATATAACTTTGACAAAAAGACAAAAGAGAAAGGAAGAGAGAGAGAGAGAGAGAGAGAGAGGAAGCAAGAAATATTTTCAGCGATGGCCTCAATTTATGAATGGAGAAATAAACGTGCCCTTTTCAAAAGAATTTTTAGAAAATGTCCATTGTTTCATGGTTCATTTGTCTGGTTGGCAAAAGAATGCTGTCCAAACACACTCGGTAAATATATGAACATACCGAAGGTTATTGCAAATCGCCGACAGCAAAAAACGAACGCTAAACAAATAATAAGAGAAAAAGTCAGAAAGTAATAAGCTTCAATGGACTTGATATTTGCTTTTTTGTTATTAAAATGTTGTATGTGTTGTGTTGCCACTGTATGGCATTTATTTAAAATTCATTCGATGTGCGATACATAAATCAAATTTACAGCATGAATTGATACCTTTCTCTTACTCTCTTTGTTTCACAAAGCTCATGGCTCTCAGTTCATATATTTCTTTGCATAAACTGTATACGCTTTTTTTGTTTAATTGCACACAACCATCGTAATAACAAGCAACCTCGAATCAGTTCACTAAATTTTTGATTTATGTACACAACGTGTGAACATTTTTCACAACATATTCATTTTTATATTGCACCGAAACGGTGAGTTTTTAAATGGAAGTATTGTTACGCTCTCTCATGCGACAAAGCCGTTCGAATGAAATGTGCTCTGTGTGTATATTTGAAGGGTGTTTAACGCTTTTGATTTTAAGGCATGACTTTGCACATTACTTTGAAATATACTGAAAATGTTTCTTTTTGTCAGTAAATATGACGGTTTCGACTGAAAACATCCCGGAATAACGATAGACAATTTTAGCATTATTACTATTATGGTTATGATGCTATAAGCGAAACGGCTTATTACAAAAATTTGCGTTTGCATGCCATTTTTGGTCTTTGTTCATCATACATCTGATTATATTATTATCGTTGTCTTTCTCCGTGTGGAATTTCAAAATTTAACTGTGCCTGACATTGGGGCGCGCACATTCTCAATGTGTTAATTCGCTTAATGGCATACATGCGCGCAATTTGGTTTTTTTTTATTGAGAAATGACACAGCCATACTTGAGTCGAAACCGCATATAAATGCCGCTTACCAAGACAGTACCAATTTTCCATTTTCTTCTCTTTTTTTTCAACATGGCAACTGCGAAACGGTAATTTACAAAATTGGCCGCACAAAGCTATTGTGCTCATAAATTCTTGAAAATATATTATCGAAAGAAATATGAAAATATTTGCAAAGCTTCACAATATCGAAATGTCCAATATGTCCATTTGGTTGTCAACTCAGGTCGACTCGTGGCATTTATTATTTGAAATGTAGTCTGGTATTTTCATCTAAAAATACAGCAAAACAAAAAAATTATATTTACATTTTCAAGTGCACCGTCGAAGAAGTGTCTTTAAAAGCAAACACATTAAAGGAGGATGATGGCGCTTTCATTGTTTTGTGACGTCAAGCAAACACTTCAATGGCGTTAAACACGCGTATAATTTACAAAATACATTAAAAGATGCTATTCTTTTGATTTCGTTATTATACCGAAAGCTAATAGAAATGCATTCGAATAAACGTATGGTATTCTCTGTGGATACAATAAATCTGAATCTAAATCATTCAATAAATTTAAATTTCACTCTTTCTTAGATCGAAGCTTCTCGTTACTGTTTACCTCGTATTTTTATTTAATCCATCGACTATTTCATTGCTGCTGGCATTTCGTATCGTGTCATTTATTTAATATGAACGCGCGAATCTGCGAAAAGAGAACAAAATAAGAATGTGCCATTGGCAATGGCAGCCAACAAGCAATGAATGTTTTTCCTCAATTCTTTTTCTTCTCGAGCTCACATTCTCGCTCTCTTTTTTTTAATTTTATTTGCGTACGCATTGTACGTGCAAATTCAGTGGCGATAGCTGCTGTGTAAACGACATAAAAACAACATAAACGTGTATATGAACCGAATCATTCGCGAAGTTAAGTTCAAAGGTGGTGGTACAACAAAAGCAGCAACCATCTATAAAGCAACACACAAATGGAACCGAATGAAAGTTTGGTAGTTGGCTTTGAAAATTGGTTGTAAATGCAAAATACCTTTTTTTTTCGTTGTGCACGTAAAATATGAGTACGAAACACAAAGAAATGGCATTGTTCGCGGAAATTCGGTTGTTCCCGTTGTTTGCAGTGAGCTCGAAACACATCACCTTGGAATGTAATGAAGCAATTGAATAAAATTTCGCTGGTTATCAGTTACCTTTGAACGATGCTTTTTCTCTCTCCTTTTCATGCTTGTTCACACGTAACTACAGGCATGGGATTGCTTTATTTTCTGGCTATATGTGTACTGGGCTTATTTTTTTCTAGCGAACGTGTTCACATACACATTTTGCAGAATTGTACGCTCAACATACAAATTAAGTGCATGAAAAACGCGTGTTCGACGTTCACCTTTAACCATTTTGACGCAGTTTTACCGCGCGCATTTCATTTTACATTTACATTCTTTTTTGTTGTGCTACGACCAACTTTCAAGTTTCTCCTTCGTTTTAACAATGTTAAATGGCCTAAATATCCAACATAAATTTTGTATTGTGTAGCATTCGCTATATCTACCCAAATCATTCAAGTTAAATGATTTGACTTGGTTACTTTTTACCGTTTTGCATTGAGGGCGTTTCTGTTATTTACTTCATGTGAATCGTTTGAAGCGAATGAAAAAAAGACGGGGTGATATTTGAAAGAAAAATTGTGTGGAAAAATGGTGTCAAGCAATGTTTACCTTATATTGGAGTGGATGAATGGCTGCACACCGACCGAAGTGGTGATAAAAGGTTTCAATAGAACGACTGACAAGGGTCGATTTTGTGTCGCGCGACTTCAACTCTTCCTGCTGTATTTACTGAACCACTCTGCAATCTGCATTAGAAGAAGAGATAAAAAAGGAGAAAGAAAGGAAGAGAAACACAACATGAAAAATCTTATAAGTTTAATTCCTTTGTGAGCAATATTCAAAGAGGTGGCAATATGATAAAGGTTGTTTTTTTCCTTGTTATTACAGACTTTTGGTTGAATGTCACTTTTTAAATGGCTTATTTTATTTCGTGAACATAAAGTGTGTGTTTTGTGCGTTGTGTTTGCCCATATCGAAACACGAAAAGTCAAACTATGCAAAAATTCTGATTTTCGGGTGAAACGACAATATGCGTACTTTTTTTATTAAATTCACCTCAATGCTTCCTCGCACTATTCTGTAAATAATCATTCATAGAAATATTGAGAAATTTTCGATTTTCAAATAAAAAACCCATTTTAGTATACGTATAACATGAGGATTTATCTCGGCCCATGTTTAAATGGAAAAAACCTGTATTTCGCTCGGATTTTTAGTTTAAATTTTGATTCGACTTCCAATGACGGAATTTTAACCAGATTTAGAGAAATTTGCCTAGATTTTCCCGGCCTCAATTACCATAGAAAAAATCTAGCATCCTTCACAAAAAATTGATACATATTGGGAAAGGACAAGAAACCGCAATAATCTTGCATTCACGTTGATCTTTTGGTTATATGATGGTATCAGACTGATATCTGCATGCAACATAAATAAAACAAAAAAAAAATGGAAAATTCAAAAAAAAAATCGAATCTTCATTCAAAATCGAAATGCAAACTGCCTGAATTGTTACTGTGTAGTAATATTATCATTAATTATAATGTGAAACATTTGTGAATGATTCGCTTGTTCAATATATTTCTTTATTTAAAATGCACAAACGGTTTTGTGCTTGTTTATCTATCTCCATCGTTTTGAAACGTGTTTAACCTGACATTGGCGTCTGCCGCCAAAACAACTTATGATAAATATTTTCTGAACGAAATGCCTCACATTTTTTTGTTCGGCTTTTACTTATGTGAACGTCACACAATTCATTCTATCGATGTGGGCACGTAGAAATGTACTTTCTCATAATGGGCAAACAAAACCGTAGTAATAGGCCAAAAGGAAATCAGTCTTGCCAGAGATATGTGTACGCGAGGGTTACACACAATTATTTTCGCACTGATGAAATATTATCGTATAAGCACATCATATGCATATACATACGCACCATCACATGGCCATGCTCACGCCCATTTCAAGCGTTGCAAATAAATCCCTCGCTTCAATGCGAACACCATCAAACCGTTATTATTATTTTGGGGGAGGAAACCTCATCATTGTCTTTCGCCACAGCCAAAATTGTGCGCAATAAAATTCGTATCTTAGCTCATCATTCTCTTGAAACTTCAACGGAATGCATAAGCATGTGAGAATCATATCAATTCCATGCTCGCACAGTTCTTCACTGTAAATAATCTACGCATGTTTAAAGATATTTCAAGACACCCAAAGAGAGAAAAGGCCAATTCAAAGACAATTCATTTCCTTGACGGTTCCAATCTCACTTTGTATAAGAGATCCCTGGTCAATATCACACACCATTCAGGCTGAAATATATAAAACTACACACAGACATGGTTTGATGACATCAAACAATACAGTGGATATGTTTGTTTGTGCTTTGCATCAGAACTACTACGACACATGAGTTATTGTAACTTTGCAGAATTGTTGATCGGATAGAGAGAACAAAAAAATTGGAACAAATTCCCCGAGCGATAGTGATTGTTTTGTATGCACATCAATGCATGGTAAGCAACTGTAGCAAAAAGTATTTACTATATACCAAAAAACCATAAGCCATTTCCATGTATCGTGGATAGTACGACGGTATGTTGTGTGCTCGGGTTTATCATTCGAGCCATTTGTGTGTGCAATGCATCGACAGTGGCAGAAATGGCATCGCAGTGACGACGACAATGACAACAACAACAAAAACAATAGATGCGACGCAGATCCTCTTTCTCTCAAAATCGTGATATAAATAAATCACATTGCTGTATTATAAACATTATAAATCATCATAGAGTATGTGTAGTGCATAAAGCTCGCCGATTGTGCACATGTTGCGATTGAGCAGATAGCGGCACGCAAAGGGACGAGCACATTGCGAACGAACGAGTCTAGCATATTTAAACAGCAACAAACGAATGCGATATTCTTTCATAATCGTTTCCATTATCGTTTTGTTAAATGGATGTGAAGGTATTTCGCCTGAACATCATGTGTCAAATGGAAAAAGATACAGAGACAGAGAGAGGTCAGAGACGATGAGTGGTGAATTCAATTTGACAATATGGAAAAGAGAAAATAAAAAACGAAGTGAATTCAGCCTCTTTCGATAATATAACACGCAACATCGTCACATTGACAATGAATTAAACAGGCCGTGAATGTGGTCCATGCATCACGATTTGTTGCTCCAAATCTGAATTTTAGTGAAACAGACAGCAAAATGATAGATCTGATGGAAATTGCAGTCTTTCAACTAGTCAATTTAACATTTGTCGATTCGGTATTTTCGGTTGGCCATCATATCATTCACTGTTTCGTCGTACGAAATCCGATGGAAATACTCCTGACGCGTGTACATTTTTTTACATACACAAAAAAAACGAATCTTCTGCATGACGGCTATTTCTATTGTTTTTTTCCAATGCTCAAAACAAACGAACCGCAGCTAAATTCAGCTGATGCTAATAAAAAAAGAACCGATGGTCAACACAATTTCTTTCTTCTACACTTTTATTTTTGTTACCATGACATGGCCTAAACAGTATCAATGCTGTTGCTATTGTCACATTCACGTCGGTTTCAACCTTCATACTTCCTTTTTCAGAGTATTTGTAATCGTTGTCTGTCTCTCTTTCGAATTCAATATCTTTTGTCATATTATGAATGCGAAGTGTAAAGAGAAATTTGCATTGTTGTCGTGTTAATACACTACCGGCAGTACTGTTGTCCAATGAATTCTGTATTGTCATCGTCATGAGCGTTTAATTTATTTTTGCTGTCGTCTCATTCAATCGATGATTTTGACTAGCAAAACCATTTTTTTTGTATTTATTTTCGCTGAATTCGACTAAATGCCAAAGCATTATACTACATATAACAAAAGCTAATGAAGTGTACACGATAAACTGATAATGGACGGCAAACAATGTGGCGACAGTATGGTGAAAAGCATATCATTTCCTTTTTTCTTTCTTCAACGTCTCGACTTTCATCCCATAGATTTTCAATGCCGCGTGATTTTATAAATTTTATTGAGTTTGCTGGTTTCTTATACATTTTAAGGTTTTGCGAAAGATAACACAATTATGTAAAATGTAAGGTTCTTATATTCACTGGTTACAGCAAATCGTATCTCTTTTATTCGAAGAATTATTGATTTCTTTAAATCAGACAGTCTTTTATCGCTTTAATAAACATTTTTGCCCTTTCACCCAAGGTATTTTTGAGCAATTACTATGGTTTAATGTTTTGGTATTTCACAAAAAAGAAATTTTTGCACAACCCTAATTGGCTAAATGAGAAATACATTCAAACTCATGATTTCAACCGCGAAATGTGCAAATATTTATTATTCACTCGCATTATAATGCAGTATACTGGTCCTGTCGAGATGATAAGCCGAGTTTATCTGACGCATATGTACAAAATAGTAAAGATGAGCCAATAATGACACGCGTACGGAAGTGAGGCGGCATAATATGCAAGTGCATTGTGGATGCAAGATAGGCCTGTGTTTAAAAACAAAAGTGGAGCGCACTCAAAATGGAATTGCCAATGGCGTTTGTAGCATACACTACAAGACTACTTCAGCTATAGAACAAGCTTTATGACAAGAGAACAGGCCAGCAGTGATTTTTTGTCAAGGATTTAACAGACATTATGTGCACATATTTGCTAGTCACTTAGTTCCACCATACCCACTATATTGTGCTTAATGACGCACAAAGAATGAACACATTTTGCTGTTTACATATTATATTAATGGTCTTGAATATGTTTGAAAATGATAGAATTATTTGTCATTACTTTACTCAAGATATTTTCTAAAATCATGATATCATTTATTCTTCATTCACCGTTTTAATTGCAACATTTTTATGAGAAATTAATAAATGACGAAAATTAATTTAAAACTTTCATGGAATTTCTCCTTTTTGCAAAAAATAAAAATAAATTCCAAACACACAAATTATTCAAATAAATCAGGTTAATTTTGTAACATGCGAGCCCAACAGCAAACCGTTATTAATATGCTGCAATTTATTATTTTTCCTTAAAAAACTTCAAAATGGCCATTTCAATCAAATCTGATAATGCACGTTGAAATGAAATATGTATAATTCAGTGAATAGATTGTGGCTACAGCTATAGCAGTGCTATTTTCGTTGCTCATATTAATAGCAAGTCCAACTTAAAGATGGCGTTACGTTAGGTGGAGTTTGGCTCATATATACCCAAGCGCATATAATGCTAGTCAGGGTAGCCACAATCTATTCACTGGTTTAATTTTGTAAAATACTATCAAAGGTAAATTGATGTGTATGTTCGATACCATTCTGGTTAAGTGGAACGTAGTTCGAATCAGAAATTATAAATTATGTGTTCATCGTGGCGTGTATTCGCATATTTTTCAAAAAATTAATTGAACATTGCGTGAGTCTCAAAGTGATGCGCTTTGAATTTAATATTTTTCGTGTGAATCAAATATTCATATTTTCTTCGATCTGCACATTTGTAATTAAACGCAACAGTGAGATGGAAATAGTAATAGTAATAAATAGTATGGCTATAGACCACATAGTTGCAGACTAAATATCGAAGATATATCCGTACGGCACCGTATCGCACGATCGAAGTGAGTATGCAGTGTATATGGCCTATAGCATCGGAAGTTTTTTTTCATGGGCAAATTAATTTTTTGTCAAAGAAATTTAACTTTTTTAGCCTGAATAAAAATAAA